ATTAAAGTATTAGAAAGAGGTTTTTTTAAAAAATCATATCCATTAGTTCCAATATCTGGATTACCTGTGGGTCATTCTTCCCAATTATTTGAGAAAAATAAATTATTCAGTCATTTGATTCTGTCTCCTGAAATACCTGGTAATTTTTTATTGAGTACTAATCTTTAGGAACATAAAATTATAAAGATTCTGGATGATGTTGTTTTCTTCCAAAAAGGGCTTAGTTTTCTTCTGCCTGGTGAGGTATAAACAGATCCCGAATGTGATGGGTCCAGTTTAGATTTCAGACTTTGTGGAGACTGGGCTGTTTCTGAAGTTGCCTCCCTCCAAAGAATTTCAGCTGAAATCCTGTGGCGTACACCTCAGTCCTTCCTCCTTGGCACAGCTGGATCTCCAGTTTTTGCCTCCCCAGCTGGGTGAGACCGTCAAAGCTCCACTTCGCTGCTTAGCAACTGCTTTCTTCTCAGCGTCTCAGCATCTCGCCACAGCAGTTTAAGATTCGGAAAAAGCCCAAGAGCAAACGCAGCCCTGCATTGCTGGGCTCACTTTGCTGCTCGCCTCGTTTCTCCTGGATCTTGACCTCCACACACAGGCTAACTTGGTACCTGAACAGCCATTTTTTTCTAATAGCAATATGAGACGGTTGATGGCTTTAGGCTACCACTTTCTGCTTATGTGTCACAACAGGAATTGATGCTGTGAATCGAAACATCTCTGGGGAGGCCCAGTTCACTTCAATGCGTTTCCTTCTCTCTCTGATTTTGTCCCATCAATTCCAGGCTGTCTTGATTGCTCTCCAGTGCTTCAAATAGTTGCTCTGTGTGTTCAACTGAGCTTTATAATCGTTCTCGGTGGGAGGAACGATTTAATTCAAGCTGTTTCATCATGGCTCAAATCAGATTTCCCTCCTATGTACCACAATTTTTGTTAATTTATAATATTTTATTTTGTTGTTTTGTCACATTTTTCGCATCATTCAGTTTATGATATTCTCTAATTTTCATTTTGATTTCCTCCTTGTCCTATGGGGTTTTGCACTGGACCATCTTTTCTGTGTCCTCAGGTTCTCTCAGTCTCACCTTTACTGCTTATTCTGACTAAGCCACCATTAAGACCACCAATCTCCTGGAGCCATGTGGTTCCACTGTCATGGGCCACCGCCCAGAGACTCCGGCATCTGCCACCACTTCCAGACTCGGAGTGGAAGGAGAGAAGTTCCACTTCTCCAGTGGGTTGAGAATTCAATTTCTCAAAGGCTACTGAAGTGACCAGATGAAGATAATCTGAAGTTTTAAGGAATAAACTTTCTATGGCATGAGTTGTGATCTGTGGTAGACAGTAGCCAGGGGCAACCAACACATAGGTGATGTTTTTGTACAGCCCATCAGTAGACTTCCATATAGCCAATCTGGCTTCCTGGGTTCTTTGTGGCCTGAGAAGCAGAAACTAAGATTTTACAGCTCTAGAACTTCTACTTTTTAAAATTGTTTATACTCCTCTACTGAAGTTTCCAAACTTGATTATTATCTCCTTGAATGTTGTCAGCATAGTTATATTAAAAACGGGTAAAGATATTCAGCTTAGTCATTTTAAAGCATCATACAAATCTCCTGTTTTTTTAAAAAAACTTTATGATTTCTGCTGGTTTCATGATATTGTCTTGTCTCCTTTTTTCTTGGTGATTTTTTGTTGAGTTTGAGTCATTCCATATGAAAAATTGATGCAATAATTTGGGAACTGAGATGATATCATCTTCCTCCAGAGAACATGACATTTACTTCTGGCACCTGGCTAGGAGAATTAGCAATCTTGGATCATCTTAATCTTCATTATTGGAATTGAGAAAATTTGAAGTAAAGGTTTACCCTGATGTTTAGAGAATAGTAGTTTTCAAGGTTTTAACCACAAATATTGGTGGTGGGTGTGTGACCTGGGCTCAGCTTTCTCTTTGGGACCGAAAACCTAATTGCTTCCCACTAACTCCGGGGGTTCTCAAGAGCTCTGCTCAGCTTTTCATCCTCTCTTATGTTCCTTCTGGAATTGACTGATACCTGATGAAGCCAGTTCCCCTAAATGTCAGATTCACCTCTCTGAATTTCCTTCTTCCTGGATCTTGGATAACTCTTGACTGCATTTAAATCTCTCTGATATTTTAAAGATTTAAAAAATATTTTCTCCAGAGTTTTTAGTTGTCCTCAGCGGGAGCATGGTCTCATAACCTAGTCCACCGTTCCTACAAGCAGATGCCCCACATCAGAAGGGTTAATAAACATAATAGGAACGTTGCCTTAGGTGACACATGTGCTACAACCCGAGGCTGCTGAGCACATTGAAATCTTAACTAAATAATTATGGGAAATATGTATTTGTAAACTCTGTTTCTATGTCAGGAAAAGAGTTATTGGTATCTGGAACTAGTTTTCAAGGGTATCAAGGCAGACTTAGACGAATTTATTTTTAGTCATCATCTGCAAAAATATGAAATTTTAACTTCCTATTTTTGAATTTCTACATCCATTTATGTCTCTTGCCTAACTGTATTAACTAGTACTTCTAAAGCAATGTTTATACAATGTGATGGTATTGGACCATCTTGTCTTTATCTGGACCCGAAAGAGAATGCTGCTAAAATTTCACCTCTAGCTATGTGCTGAATTTTGGTCATAAATATATTTCTTATATTAATGAAGGAAATAATAAGCAATTAGAACTTATAGAAATAGAACCTAGGCAAGATCCAGAAACCTTCATTCTGATGCTCAGTATTAACATGATCTGGTGTGTTATTTCATATTCTCTTGATTGGTAATAAGATGGATTCAGTCCAAGCTATTGCTGAGCTTTCCTGGAATCATGTTTTCAACTCTGATTCAGTCCACTATGACTGAGGGGGTTTCACATAGAACAATAAAGGCATTATGTGCTGGTATAATTAGAGAGCCATGCGCAGCGTATCTAGGGCAGTCGTACTTAGGAAAGACTATCATGAAGTATATGGAAGAATCTAATCTCACACCTTCCTTCTCCTTTGTGATGTTCCACATACCCTCTACGTGTCCAAAAGAATTTCCATATTTAGAATTGTATTGAAGGTTTGACATCATTCATAACACTATTTCACTTGCCCATAGGATAAATTTCAAAAATCTTTAATTTACCTTTGAACTTCCATCATATTCGTTATCTATAATTTAACAGTGCAATTCTATGAGATATTTATTTCATGGAGCAATTATTCAACTCTTTCACTAAATTTTTTCTATGTTTGTCCTCTATACTCTAAAACTTGGGAACACGGTGTCATTTTTTAACTCTGTTACAGCTAATCTGATCTATGGAGTAGAGTAAGTGATAGCGTGAAACTTTATTTATTGATTCTTATCACGCTACCAATCTAGTCACTGTCTTCCAGTTTGCCAAGTCCAATTCTCCATTTACGGAAATTAATCCTCTTGTCAAAAAAAGCTGTCCACTCTCCTGTCTGCTTACCAAGTCCAAATGCACTTGAAGACCCATCAAAAGTCCTTTCTAGGGCCAGCCCGGTGGCGCAGTGGTTAAGTGCACACTTTCCTCTTTGGTGGCCCAGGGTTTGCCGGTTCGGACCCCAGGTGCAGACATGGCACTGCTTGGCAAGCCATGCTGTGGTAGGCGTCCCACATACAAGAAAAAAAAAAAGGTAGAGGAAGATGGGCACAGCTGTTAGCTCAGGACCAGTCTTCCTCAGCAAAAAAAGGAGGATTGACAGCAGATGTTAGCTCAGGGCTGATCTTCCTCAAAAAAAAAAAGTAAAAGTCCTTTCTACTCAAAAAATAAAGTCTCCTTTAACAATTTTTTAACCCCTCAGGCCATGGGACCACATGTGGGTGAGAAGACAGTGTTATAGCAATGGAATGACCAACACCAAGTACCAGCCTTGGGTGGCAGTTAGTCGTCAATGGACTTAGCATCTCCGACATACTTTTGGCCCTTAACAATATCATTTAAAATGTATTGTCCATATTACCTGCAAAACTATTTTCTTAAGGAAAATGCTATATAAAATACATTTATTATCCTTAGCCATTCCTGATACAGACGCTTGCATATAATTAATGCTCAATATTTGCTTGAAAACAATGAAAAGTCTTAGTGAAAACTGATGAGAAAAAAACGCTTCAATCATTTTAATTGAGAGATTCCACAGATGAACCAAAAAGAAAAAAGAAAACCAAAAAAAAAAAAAGGAAAAGGTTTACATACCACTATCTACCACCTTTCAGTTCCATTATACAAAATACTCTAGATACGCATTCCAAAAAGACTCTTATTGAATCAACACTATAAAATATTCCAGAGAGTAAAAGGTAAAATTATAGCATACATTGTTTATATGATTTTTAATAAAAATTTTTGCAGTATTAACATAGAATTTTTGACCCCACAACATTTGGGGAAAGAGAAATACACACTATATTCAGGTGAGAAAGCAGCTGAGAAAAATTGGAGAAGTGAACTACCCACTAATTTCAAGTAAGAAAAGTTGGAGTAGAAATGGCCGCTGCTGGTGATAATTGATGATTCTCTCACTTGCAGAATTCCCATTTGCTAACGACCATTGTGCCACCCTTTCCTAGGAAATGTTTCCACTTGACGTTTTTCACTTCTGGGGAATGTCTGTAGTTGGTCCATGATCACAAGGCTGGATTACTGGTCCCACAATATCACGGGGAACATTCCAAGATGCTCCCAGCCATTAAGCAGGAGCTGCCACAAAACTCCTGGAAGGTACAGACAGTAAAGGAACAAGAAGAAAGAATCACAGAGGAGCAGCAAACAGACAGATCTCTGGGTGGTGTCATCAAATCTGGACAGTGTTTGTGATGGGCTGAGTCGTGTCCCCCAAGGTTCCTATGTGGAAGTCCTAACTCCCAGGACTGCAGAGTGTACGATATTTGGAGACAAGGTCTTAAAGGGTAATTAAGCTAAAATGAGGTTTTTAAGGTTGAGCCCGAATCCCATATGAGCTGTGCCCTTATAAGAAGAGGAGATGAGGACACAGAAACACAGAGACACCGTGTGAGCACAGAGAAGACAGCCATTGACAAGACAAAGGGGGACCTCAGAAGAAACCAACCCTGATAACACCTTGATTTTGGAGTTTTAACTTCTAAAATCATGAGAAAATAAATGTCTGTAGTTTAAGCCGTGCAGTCTGCGGAGCATCGCGATAATGGCCTCATACACCAACACAGCGTCGGAAAGTCAGGGAGAGAAAGACCATTTGACGACAAACGGGAGTTGAGCATAAATAGGAAAATAATTTGAGATTTCACAGCCAGAGATGAGATTCAGAATTCAGTGATGCTGGAAGAAACAAGTGTAGGTGGTAAGGACATGTACAGAGCATTGAGACAGGTGACACATGGAAACCAGTTTATCAATTATTATTTAGTGCAGTAAATATCTTCACAATGTTATAATGGAGACACATTCTTGGGAGTTCATTCTTGGCGAATTTGAAAAAAGACTATATTTCTCTAGTTTTGAAAGGTTGTTCATTTCTTATACCTAATTTCATCATAAATTTGTAGTTTTGAAAATATCTTTAATTTTCTCCACTTAGTGCTTGCATTTATTCTGAAAATAAACTAATGGTTGATGAGCTATCCTTCAAAACTTCCCCACTCACAATAACCTTTATGGCTTTCCTAAACCAAGGATAAAATAAAGCATAAATCAGAGGGTTCACGGCTGAGTTATAATAAGCCCCCCAACAGCAGATCTCATAAATATAGGCAGGGGTTACGAAGCCCATGAAGGCATCGACAAGCGTGTCAATTGTATACGGTAACCATGAAATCAGAAATGCTACCACTGTGACGCCCAGGGTTTTAGCTGCTTTTCTCTCTCTCTTGGCCACTCTGGCTTTATAACTCTCCGAGGATGACTCTGCTTTGCCACCAGTGTGCTCAATTTTTATAGCTTGTTGTTTAGCTACAAGAAAAATCTTACTGTAAAGAATTATCATGACAACTGTAAGTATGAAGAATAACAGAAAGTCTATCAACACCCAGTCTTGATTTACAACAATTTGACAACCACCTATACAGTTGAGGGCACTTACTAATTCCTCCATCCCATCGTTACTGACACCTGTGTAGAACACAGCACCGCTGTAGACAAGGGGCAGGATCCAGGAGATGCTGACGCACATCCCTGACACAGATACTGTGAACTTGGCGGGATAGACCAGAGGGTCAGTGACAGCAATGTACCTGTCGATGGAGATGCAGCACAAGTGGAAGAGAGAAGAGTAACAAAATGCCACATCACAGCAACTGTGGAGGGCACAGAATCTGGCTCCAAAGTACCAGCAGCTCTCCACGGACCTGACCATGCTGAAGGGCATCACAGTGACCCCCACCAGGAAGTCAGCGCAGGCCAGAGAGGCGAGGAGAAAGTTGGTGGGAGAGTGCAGCTGCTTGAAGTGAAGAATGGCAGTCACCACCAGGAGGTTTCCAAACACAGCCAGCACAGCGCCCAAGCCAAACGCTGAGTACAGAAGCACCCGGGCTCCCGGCAAGCAGGGAGTTTTAATACAAGACCCGTTCACGCCCTCGTAGCAGAGCTGCACCACGGCAGGTGTGGAAGGACCGCGGCTCATGATCTGCAGGTGGTGGTGTCTTTCTGCCCCTCCTTGTGGTCAGAACAATAGTTTTCAATCCCGAAAATTAAAAACAAGTCACACTGCATATTTGAGCAAGTGCTTTTACATACTGCCTCACGTCCTTCCTTTTTCCATTTTAATTATAAGGAGACATTAAAGAATTTCAAAAACTCAGAAATTTATCCTTTCTGTCTTTAATTTATGTAATTATTTCTGTAACTACATCTAAGCCTCATCAATAGTTAACTCCATGCAAATCTACTAAGAATTTTCACCAGGCCAGAATTCGCATTATCTCACCAATGGAAGAAATTTCATTTAAATACCTGGTTCTTTCCACACATGAAGCTCTTCTGTCCTCACAAAGGATAATCACATATAATATAACTGCATATTTGAAAGGTCACCTTTTAATAGACACCCCCCCCCTTCACGTTGAAGGAGAAGGTAGCCCCTAGGATGTTGTAGGAAGCAGCCAATAAACTTCCCTCCTTATAAAGTCCTCACAAGGAGTCCCTACAGAGTAAGGTGTGAATCCTGCAAGGAAACTTTCTTTTGATAGTTATAATTAATAAGTTCTACAACGTTATTTCCCTGCTCTGTTACTCTGTGGAAATACTTGTAATTTTCATAGCCAGCAGATTTCTGTAAGTTCACTGTCCTGAAATAGCCTTGCCCAGTGGTTGAGAGTTATGTTACTTACTGCCTATTTACCAGATTGGCTACAAGATGTTCAGGGCCCAGGGCAAATAAAAATGCAGAGATCATTGTTCAAGAACACGGAAAAAAGTGCCCTCGGGTTAAAGCTTTTTCCTCCCCTCCTTGGTCTCTCTGACCTGCCTGGTGTTGCATTTCGTGGGGGAACGTCCCACCCCCTGCGCTAGGAGATGTTTGAGGGCAAGTGGAGACCCTCACAGGTGCCTGGAGACCCGGCCCTGCACCGCAGCACGCCTGGCCCACCCGCCACCGGGTTCCCTCCCGCCAACCACTGAGACGACATGTGTGGCCCAGGCTGCAGGTGAGGAAGCTGAGCAGGCATCTACCCTATCCTGGGTCGGCCTCCTCAACCACAGGCAGAAGGGCGAGCCCCTAGGGGTTGCGACGTCCACATCGGGACCCACTCGGCACCTGGATTGGGGGTGGGTGAGAGGCTTGGTCCCCTGAGTTGCTCCTTGAAGATGTTGTGGCCCCAGCAGCCTGCGGTGGGGTGACAACCGCCACCCTCTCCCTGGATTGCGGAATGCGTGCCGGACGCAACCCTCCCTGTATCAATTGGGTCCTCGGATGCGGCGGGGAGAGGCGGCCAGGGTATAGGTCCAGGTGGGGAGTGGGGACCTGGACTGGGCCCAAGGTGCCAGGGGGTGGAGACAGCTGAGCGTCCATCCCAGCGAGGAGGGGAGGAGGGGATGCAGGCCAATCACGCGCCCCGGGATTCCACATTCCAGGCCCCGTACACGCCCCACTGTCCCTTCAGGCTCCACACACACGAAACAGACTCGAAGATAAAATTAGTGAGAGTTTCACAACTACAACTACAAGCTCAAATGCCGGGAGCAGCTTCTGTGCTGCTGGACTAGTCACAAGCCCAGCCAGGGGCCCTGGCGGTTTCATTTCAGAGATTAAATTATCTCTTTGCAACAGCAACTAAATGATGCAGAAAGGAATTCAAGCGGAGCTAACTGCAAATCTGCCAGATGGGAAGGTGTGGGAGGCGAGGGCCAGGCAGTTCTGACAGGGCCAGCCTCTCCTGTCTCAGCCTAGTCCTTGCGATAGTAACGGGAGTTAGGGAGGCAAATTAGATACAGAGAGCGCTATTGAAAGAATTTCAGCTCTGAGGACAATGGCACCTGTGATCCTATAAAGCACGTGAGAAATGATGAAGACATTTTCCTCCACAACACATTCAGGACTGCAGAATAGCAATGGGAGCTGTCGTTTAGGATAAAGATACTGAAAACATATTGGACACTTTGGAACGTAAGTAGAACAGATATGAAAGGTGCCAAGAAAATAGTTATTCAATTGATCATCTCCCAGATTCTTCTGGGTAATGCTGTCTTCTCTTCTCTAAATTCTCAGAGCTAACGTGATTTCACCCCACTCTTACTCAGTAGCCTTGCCTCCCTATTTTCTGAAAATATGAAATACACAGTTTAAAGACTGAAAGGATGTAGAGGTTTAGGGCTGCATGATGGAGCCCGGAATCGAGGATGCTTCCCAGGTTTTTAGCTTGCCAACAAGAAAGATAAGGTATATGGGAGAAAGAGTACATTTGGGAAGGAAAGATGATGGGTTAGGTTAGGGTTGGTCAGAGGGACATGAAACTGGAACTCTGCAGTGGGTAGTTTAGCCCATAAATTTTCAGTTCAGGAAAGAAATTGTGCCGGATATAATCATTTGGGATCCTGAGTGACTGGTGTTTTGAGGCTGTAGGAGTGAATGTGATTGCCTGGTGCACACCTGCCGGAATGCCTACAATGGGTCAGATGCTCACTCAGTATGTGTTCACTGGAATAGAGAGGGTACAGTGAACATAGAAGGAACTGGAGGTGCACCATCTTCAAAGTCATGCCTGCAAAGGGAAGAGTAGACAGAAACGCAGATGGAAAAACCAGGAAAGCGTGGTCCCCCAGGCCCCATGGGATGAAAGAGGTTCATGAAGGAGGCATCCCAGGAGTGTCAGATGTTGACAATGGGTCAAGTTAAGTAAACTGAGAATTGCTTGTTGGCATTAACAGCTAAATCACTGATGAGCATGATTGCACTTCTTCTGTCGGGATGTTGGAGAGAGAATGCAGTTGCAGTGGATTGAGAATGACTGGGAATGGGTAGGGAAGGCGGAAGAGACCATGAGCAAAGACTGGTATTTAATAAGCCGACTGTAAAGAGGAAAAGAGGCATGCAGCCTTAAGCGGGAGACTTGGAATCGGGGAACGAGCACGTTGCCATTTTTTGTTTTGTTTTGATTTGGTTTATTAATGATTTTATTCTGGAATGCTAAAGGAAAAGCAATGGAGAATATGAGAGGAAAGACTGAGCTCTGGTTGGAAAGGTTTTACCACCAAGCAGGGAAGCAGATGAGCACAGCTCTTGGCTCTGGGAGATTAGGTTCCAGTGAGTAGAAATAGGGAGGCTTTCTTAAAGCCAAAGGGCCTTGAGCAGCCCTGTGTTAGGAAAGCAAAGTCTCTGAGTGCTGCTGAGTGGGTAACGGTCTCTGGGGTCATTCGAAGGCTGAGCCCCGGCTGACTGAGGTGTCCGCAGTCAGAGGTGGGGGGCCTACCTTGGGATCATGACATTGTATTAGTTTCCTGTTGCTGCTGTAACACATTGCCACAAACAGTGGCTTAAAGCAGCACAGATTCATTATCTCACACTTCTGGAGGTCAGAAACTGTGTGGGTCTCAGTGACTCACAGCAAGGCAGCGACACGGCTGCCATCCCTCGGGAGGCTCTTTTGGAGACTGTTTCCTGCCTTTTCCCACTCCCAGAGGCCGCCTGCATTCCTTAGCTCGCAGTCCCTTCCTCCACGTGTATAACCCACAGCACAGCATCCTCATAGCTCTCTGACTCTGACCCTGACTCTCTCCTCTCCCTCTTCAGCTTTTTTTTTTTTTTCCTGCTTTATCTCCCCAAATCCCCCCTGGTACATAGCTGTATATCTTAGTTGCAGGTCCTTCTAGTCGTGGCATATGGGACGCCACCTCAACGTGGCCTGATGGGCGGCACCAAGCTCGCGCCCAGGATCTGAACCAGCGAAACCCTGGGCCGAAGCAGAGTGCGCGAACTTAACCACTCGGCCACGGGGCTTGCCCCCTCTCTTCCGCTTTTACTGAGCCTTGTGATTACATTGGGCACACCTGGGTAATCCAGGCTACTCTCCCATCTCAAGATCCTTAATTGAGCCACACCTGCAAAGTTCCTTTTGCCAGGGAGGGTAACAGATTCACAGGTTCTGGGTATTAGCACGTGGACATCATTGGGGGGCTGTTATTCTGCCCACCACAGGCATCTACCTACTTCTGCTGAAATGTGATCTGTGGAGGATGGGGTCCCACTGCTCCTGCTGCTGCTGTGAGGTGCCTGCCTCCAAATCGTGGTGCCAGCAGATCTGTAAAGTTAGAAGGAAGAGCACCGGTTGTCTGGAGAGACAAACTGGAAACAAAACCTCCAGGTTCTTACCTTTTCAGACCAAAAATCTTGCTCAAGTAAAACAGTAAGATTAGAAAATATATGCAATTGGATAAAACACATTTTATCTCTTCCACCTTTACTTTCAGACAAGATGAAGATTTCGTTGGGACTTTCAGTCAAGATGGCTCAGTTAGTTCCTTCCTCAACGCCTGTGCTCCAAACCCATGGAAAGGGCAGGATATTAATGGGGAGGAGATAGAGCAAAGTTCATAAGGGAGATGATCTTCTCTGTGCACGAAGAAAGAGACAGGAAGGCCAAATGCGAGCAGGGCTACAAGGAGGACCTAGTGGCTCCCAGGTCTGGAAGCAGCACTGGAATCCAGGGCTTGACTCCTGTAAAGGGGACTAAAAGTGCTCACGGCACACAGGAACTCGTGCACAGCTCACGGCGTGAGGCCAGGGGCTGGGGTGAGGTTCCTCGCCTCGAAGCACAGGTGCAAGGATGCTGAAACTAAATGACTTTGTCCCAATTCCGCCTGGGACTTTGGCTTTTAGAAAGCTGCTAGCCTCGGGGGAAACAAGGACACAGATATGGATTCACATCCAGGAACTCAGCTGAGCTGCCCATGGCTGATGGCCTGGACCAGTGACATTTCCCATCTGACAGCACAGCAGGAACCCAAAGCACTAGCGTGGAGCGTGATTGTGTCTGGAGATCTTTAGGGCTGGATGAAGACAGCTCAGAACTCCCAGGCAGGTAATGTGTGTTTTTGGTTGGGGGAGGATAAAAGAGAAAGAAATACAAACTAAACAGACCCACCCATTCCAGAGTAAGAAGGTTCGACAAAAATCTAAAACCTATGACATAATATGACATTAAAATACAGCCAATAAAATCAACAACTGAAGAATGAAATATTCCAGAAGAAATAATTTTATAGAGTACTTTGACAAAGACAAGTACAACTTTTGGTGTCCTTTCTGTTCAAATCTTCTGCTCAAATGCTTATTTATCGGCAGATGGTGATGGGAGGTCCTGGGTGGAAGTCTGGAATCTGGGTCTCTAATGGGCACCAACAAGTGATTCAGGCACTGATAACAGTAGATGATGCAATAGGAAGCAGTATTTACTTCTTTTGTGTTTTCTATTAGAATATTCAATTCAATACGAAATGTATAGAAGGCTATAAACAAAATTTATTGAGTTGGGAGCTAGTAGATGATCTTTCACGTTATTTGCCTTTTTTCTATTGTAAACTATCTTCCTTCTAAATCACCTCTTAACTCGACTTCCTGCTTCAATTATGGCCAGAAATGTCAGCCCATAAACAAAGAAGTTTGCTCCAGTGGCAAGTTCAGTGAGAAGACAGCAGTTGCTGATGGCAGACATGTATGTAAACCCAACCTCCAACCTCATCACATGATGAAGAGAGTAAGCCTTTGAATCACTATGGGATGTGTGGACACCTCCACACCAGAGCCTGTTATTTCCTTCTGGGAAAGGAATTATTCCCTCCTAGGTTGGAGTCTGTGCTCCCCAGTCTTTTTCACTTCATTACACATGGTGACCTATTGCAACACACTGAATGTTTGTATCCCCTCAAATTTCTTATGTTGAGACCTAATCTCCAATATGATGGTATTTAGAGGCAGGGCCTTTAGAAGGTGATTAGATCCTGAGGGTGAAGCCCTCATGAATGAGACTGGTGCCCTTATAGAAGAGGCCCTGGGAGGTCCCCTGCCCTTCTGCCATGTGAGCACAAAGCAAAAGATAGCTGTTTATGGGGGCTGACCCCATGGCCCAGTGGTTAAGTTCACGCCCTCCACTTTGGTGGTCCAGGGTTTTGCTGGTTCGGATCCTGGGCGTGGACATGGCACTGTTCATCAAGCCATGCTGAGGCGGAGTCCCAAACAGCACAACCAGAAGGACCTACAACTGGAATATACAACTATGCACTGGGGAGCTTTGGGGAGAAGAAGAAGAAGAAGAAAAAAAAAAAAAAGTTGGCAACAGATGTTAGCTCAGGTGCCAATCTTTAAAAAAAAAAGAAAGATAGCCATTTATGAACCAGGAAGTAGCCCCTTGCCAGACCCAAATCTGCTGGCATCTTGATCTTGGTCTTCCCAACCTCCAGAACCGTGAGCAACAAATTTCTGTTGTTTGTAAGCCACCCAGTCCATGGTAGTTTTTGCGGCAGCCTGAGCTGACTAAGACATTTCACAACGGGGTAAGCTGGAGGTGACCTGGGATGTCAATACAGGACCTTAGTGAAAATGACACCTTTGCTTTGCATTATGTATTCATTACAACTGACCAAGATGCCTTAACTGTCCCCTCAGCTTGACTAAACTATGGACAGGCTTCCTCCTGACTCTAGGCCCCTCAGCTCCCTTTTCTGAGAGCATTAACTTCAGAAAACTTGGAAGTTCTTTCTCTGCCCCTTTGAGATATGTCTTTTGAAAACTTCTTGCCAGTTTTGCAACCCAGGCCTGCCTATCTCAAGGACCAGAGAGCCGTCTCTGAAACGTGGAAGGGTGGGAGCCCAGCTTCAGAGCTGCCTTATTCCAAGTTATAGAACTGCCTCCTGTCATGAAGATATGAGGAAGTGTCCTTCTCCTTTGGGTAAGGCCAGTTAGCAAACAAAGGTGGGCTACAAACCCTCCCTCCATTCCCCGCAGCAGATAAAAACCCTCCCGCCCTTTGTGTCAGTGGAGTTGGACACAGGCTGAGTTCTGGCCTCTCTCTACTGCAACAGTCTTGAGGCAAGTCTGCCTCAACTGCGGAACTGTGTCTGCTGCCATTCTTCGCTTTGGTGTAATAAGAATACAGAACAGTGTTCACCCGTTACCTGTTGCGTGTAACAAGCACCCACAAATTCTCAACTGCATACGACATGAAGCATTTCTTTCTCACGCCTCTTGAGGTTGTGCTGGGCTGACTGCACCTCAGGCTGCAGCAGCTGGGGAAGGGGAATGGGGTCTGGTTCTGTGCAGCAAGGCTTCATGTGTCTCTGGCTGCCTTGAGCAGTGGGCTCCCAGAGCGCGTCCTCATGGTGACAGCAGAGGTCCAAGAGAGCAAGCAGGAATGGTAAGGCCTCTTAAGGCCCAGACTTAGAACCGGCACACCGTCACTCCTGCTCTCCCTTTGCCTCAAGTGGGAAGAGCAGCAAAGTCACATAGCAAGGGGTGTGATGGAGGGATGAATAATCCAAACACTCAGCCAGCCGCACAACAGGTTAAGAAATTAGCCTTTCTCAGTAAGATGTGGGAGTGGGGAAAGTGCTGGGTGTTGTTCATGGTACTTGCCACCTGTAGACAGCACACTGTAGACTCCACTCAGTTTGGCCAACATCAGAAGAGCCTTGGTGAAGCTGCTTGTGGCCTGAGTCTACTGGCCAAACAGCATCGGCCACCTTGGGCCCACTGACTTCCCTGAGTGCTGAATGGATCAGTGTCTGCAGGCAGCTTAACCACGTTTGCAACACATTATCATGCCATTGGGGAAACTCTGCCTCATACGGCAGCCTGATGGCCCCCCAGATTTGGACCAACATTTTCAATAAGTTTTATATGTTCTCAACCAAAATCTGTTCTCTACCTTGATATGATTTATTACCACCTTCAAAATGATACCCTTATTCTTTACTGCGTCTTTGCACAGATCCAGAAAGATACTGCTTGGCTCCTCCTTCAAGAAAGGGGTCAGGACCAGCTGGGCATCCTATGGAAGATCACATGATTCATTACATTGATGGCCTAATATTGATCGGGCAGGATGAGCGAGTGGTACCTAGCACACTAGACACCTAGTCCCTAGCCTTGGTCAGATACATGCTTCCTAGAAGTTTGGAGATAAGGCCTAGGAAGACTCAGGGACCCTCTGTTTCATTAAAGTAATCAGGGATGTCTCATCCCAGTCCAAGACAATTGATGACATCTTGTATCCTGTATGGCAAAGAAGGAAGCACAATACCTGGTAGATTGTTCAGGAGCCGGAAACAACACACTCCACACTCAGGAATGCTGCTCTGGTCCATTTACTGGGTAACAAAGAAGTCTGCCAGTTTTGTTGGGGCTTGGAGCAGGAGAAGGCTCTGCAATGGGTCTGGGCTGCAGTATAATTGCCATAAATTTAGTGACCTTGGGGTGCTGGAGCTGTTAGTAGAGGAAAAAGATGCAGTGTAGATACAACTGGAGGCTTCGGTGGGAGAAACACAATGCACTCCTCAGGATTCTGGAGCAAGGCCATGCGATTCACAGTGGAGGATAAAACGCCTTTTGAAGATGGCTTTTTGTGTGCTACTGAGCCCAGGTCATGATGGACAATTTGCCCATGTGACATCAAGTGATCATGTGTCTTTAACTGCCCATCATGAAGTGGGTCTTGTTGGATTTTCCAAGTCTTAAAGTTGGGTGGGTCCAGCAGAATTCCTTGCAAAATGGAAATGATGCACCTGGGACCAAGCCTGAGCCAGGGCAGAGGGCATGAGCCCAGAGCCCATTACCCACCACAGTTGCACCAGCACCCTCCATCTCACACTTCAGCAACCTGAAGAGGAGGAAAAGCTCTAGCCTGACTTTCAGATAGGCTGTCTCCGTGTGTGGGTTCAAACCAAAAATGGGCAGCAGTTGCGTTACCAACTTCCTCAGTATTGGCCTTGGATGAGAGTGGAGAGGGAAAATCTTCCCAATAGGAGGAACTTTGGTGTTTTAAACATTTTTTTTATTGAAGTATAATTGATGTACAAGGTGAACCTTTGGTTTTGTCTAACTGGTACTAATTGAATGGCACTAGGAACTTATCCCACCTGAAGAAATCTTGCTTTCTAGAAAGTTCACTCTTAGTATTTTATTCTTTTTGTAAAGTACTTCTTTTGGAATTTCCCCTAAAATTTCTCTAATGCCTTCATTTACTACCAAGTCAAAGGGAAACCCTCTGAGATGGGTGAGCTTTATTGTTAATGTGTCCATACGAACAATTTAACTCATTCCTCCAATAGTTATTGTTTAGCAGTTCATAGTAAAGGTGGGAAAGGACACAGCGCAAGTAAGTTGACCACAGCCAGTGATGCCAAGGAGCTCCTAGGAGAGGGGAGAAAGTAGAGACAGGGCAGGTGAGGAGTCCCAGGTGGATTTTGCATGCCTCATAAATTTAACCAAGATAAGGCATAACAGGAGCCTTGTATAGTCTCATCTTTAAAGTGGTCTGTAGTCCTCAGACTGAAATTGCCCTTAGAAACTGGTGCAACATTGCCTTTTGCCATTAGACACAATTGAGTGCTTATTCCTACAACCGTTAACATGTGTGTGTAAGTGTGTGTGAGTGTGTGCGAACAAAGTATAAGTGTCAGCTCCTATGTCAGACTGGGAAGATAGACCATGCATTTTCATTTTTGTTGGTTTCTGACTGGTCCACAATGGCAGTAAAGCATTGGCTTTGAAGACAGACGGACATGGGTCTAAACATGCAACCCCAGCATGTGGCGCACGCAGTCTCTCTGGAGCTTGTTTCCTCATCAATAATTCCTACAATTAATAGTAACAATAAGAAAAACAAACATTAATTCTGAAAATCCACATATAAGAATGTAGCACAGGCAGGTTTATTCAAATGTCCTTTTATTTATGTAGATATATGTAATTTTTAGTTTGTATAACTGGATTTCTGCTGTCTCTTCCACTTATGGAAACTTAGAGTTATTACCACTCCAGGAAGGACTTACTTTTTTTTCCAGTTTATTTAGAAATAACTGACACACGTCACTGCATAAGTCTAAGGCGGACAGCACAATGGTTTGACTTCTGTGTACTGTGAAATGATTAGCGCAGAGATTGACTTTTGAACTCATGTCGCTTTCTGAATCAGCTGAGCGCCTCTTCCCACAGAACCCTGCAGCTCTTCCTGAACTCTAAGTTCTAATTATGAAATAACATGTTTTTCCAACTCTGTGTACAACAGCCAAGTGGCCCTTTTGGTTAAAAGGCTAGATGGTGCGACTTCACAGAATCCACCTGATAAAGGCATGTTGTGAAAGTTTCTCAAACAAAACATCCTGATAATTTTCCTTCTACTGCAAACATTTACAAAGTGTGAAGCAAACAGTATTCTGTGATCTGGTGGTTTATTTATCAGCTCTCTGGGCTCCAAAACCCACAGACCTGTTTTGAGTCACTGTTGTCTTGCACAAAACCTCAGTGAGAATGCTGCTGTCATTTCCACGTTACAGGTGAGCAGCCGAGCTAGACAAAGGGTAAGGACTTGACCACGGTGGAAGCTAGTCAACGGTAGAGACGGGATTCAAACCCGGATGGCCTGGCTCTGGGACCTCAGTCTGGACTTGGACACGGTGTAGCCTCTGCGGATGAAAGAAGGTGCGTGTTTCCAAAAGCAACTTGACACTTACAGTCCTTGCAGGAAGCCTCTGAGGTGTCACCTCGTGTGCACTCTCTTCAGGTAAAGAGACTCAATATTACGAAAGTTTACGTGTTCTAGCACTTTTTCTCATTAAATATAAAGTCACTTTTTAGTGATTGGGTTAGACAAACCCTGTCCATAGCCTAAAGCTGGATTTTCTCCTAAACAGTGATTATCAGAACTTTTCTATTTTAGAAAACCAAATGAAGAATGAGGCAGGCTTTTCTTTTCTTTGCTGAGGAAGATTCACCCTGAACTAACATCTGTGTCAATCTTCCTCTGTTTTATATGTGGGTCACTGCCAGAGCATGGCTGCTGATGAGTGGTGTAGGCCTGCACCAGTGCTGAGCCCAGGCTGCCGAAGCAGAGCCCACTGAACTTCACCACTAGGCCACAACCTGACCCCAAGGCAGCTTCTCTTTTCTTAATGTAAAAGACTAACAGTTATTTGATGGGTGAAAATAAAGAAGAATTACTCATTTATTTGCTTAAAAACTATCTTAGGGATTTACTAAGTGCACAGCACTGTCCTAGGTATTGAAACAACGTGGACAAACAGTTACCAGCAAATAAAAAGTACACAGCAGTTTGATGTGCAGCTAGCCAAGGAGTTAACAGAAAATTTGTATAAACATGAGATGCAGAAGAGAGGCGTGGTGCTATAGTCATCGTCTAGTTAGTTTTGGGGAAAATAAACAAGTTTTTTTTTATCAAAAGGCTTCCTTTATGAAGGACTGCAAGGAGAATAGAAAAATAAATAAGAAAGAGTAAATGTGAAGTGCATTCTGCACTTACTGATGTGAAAGAGAGCTCGCATACATCTCTGGACAGGATTTATCTCTGCAGTCAATTCATCTAAAGATTACACCCTACACAGTGCAAGGTAGCAGAATAGTATGTATATTTTTTAAGTCCCCTGAATGATTTCCTCATTATTTATGATTGTCAGCATAAGTTCACACCTGCGAATGAGGGAAGGAACGCACACTTCTGTGATGGCAACACTGCTGCCTCACTGTCAAAGGGACACAGGCTTTGAGCTCTTCTCCCGGAGTGAGAGTGGGGGACCTTGATTGTGACATTTGTAAGGTGGTTCGCAGACCTGTTCCTTGACATGAATCACAAACACGCATTCTGCTACGAAGACTTTTAGATTCCTTTCATTCTCTTTTATCTTCAACATTTTTTCTCCTAAATATTCTCAATGAAGGCATTAATGTACAAATATGAAACAGCTTAAGCTTTGGAAATAAAATCTTTCCAAACTGGTTCACATATAAAATATGTAACATGTAACATTTATGTAACTCCATTTACCTCTTCTTTACATTTTGTGAAACAAGCTTGTCATAGAATAGTCTAAAATGAGCCAGCTAAACAGAGATTTAAGGCTATGCTTCCAAGATTTGAGAAGGCAAATCACCCTATTAGTAGTATCTTTTTCAAATGTTTACTCTATCTTAAAACACTCAACATATATTTTTAATTAAAATGAATTAAAATTCATGTGAGTAAGAACTGTCATCAGATGAGAAAACTGAAACTATTTCTAGAGTATATAACACGACTTTGAGTAATTGCTATTTTGAAATAGTCCTTGGCTATGTTGGAGTCACTCGACTTTATGTTTCAAATGCCAAATACAGTACAGTACAAAGAAAGAATTCAAAAGTTAAAAAATGTGAATTCGAATTAACCTTTTTATAAAATTCTTATTTTATTTCAAATTACTAAAAAGGAATACAGAAGCCATCTTTCTGTCTACATGCTCATTTGACCATAATAAATTATGTTCTCCAAAAGTAGACATAGTGTGTAACCGTGTAATCACCATACGTGTTCCTTGTGAAACAGTGACTATGAGATGGAGAGGAAGCATTGCTAGTGTTCAAAACCACAAGAGCGCCAGTGTTCTCCAATCTATAAGCTGAGGGAAGTTCCACATGACAGCTCTCTATAAAGTCCTTTAGATTAAAAAAATTTGCAAGAATTTATAATCTTGTGCTTACCTCTCAAACAAAACATACCTTAAAGAGGATTTTTGTCCCCAAAGAATCTAACTTACAAGTTACACAGGAGCATTTCCCCACCTGTGTATTTTGAACAACTGAATATTGGTAACAAATACGGAAGAAAGTACAAAACTTAAAATTATTTGAAGAAACAAGGAGAAATTTCAGAGAAAAAGGTAGAGAATCAAAAAAACATAGAAGAATACTAAATGGGAAATAATCAGCAAATCTTATTTATCACTCACTAAATTTGAAAAAGTGCCAAGATAGATGTAGATGACCAATGCTTCAGATCAAACATCCTCCGAGTTGGCAAATGATGACACTTGACCCTCTAGAGCCAAGTGGTCAATGTTGAGCTTGACCTTCATTCCACGTTGGTTTTGAAATCCCTGCAGTAATCTTCTCAATCTATATCTGCTTCCTCAGAAAACAGATTAATTGTTGATGAATCACTCCTTAAGACTTTGCCAGTTACAATAAGTTTTACTGCCTTCCGAAACCATGGGTAAAAGAAAGCATATATCAAGGGGTTCATAGCAGAATTATAATAAACACACCACACTAAAATCTCATAAACATAGGGAGGAGTTATAAAGTTCATATAAGCATCAATCATGGCATCAATAATGTACGGTAGCCAAGAGACAAGAAACGCTGCCATAGCAATACCCAACGTCTTAGCAGCTTTTCTCTCTCTCTTTGCGACTCTTTCCTTGTAACTCTCGGAAGACGACTGAGCTTGGCTGGCTGCACTTTCTATCTTCCTAGCCTGATGTTTAGCCACCAAAAATATCTTACCATATATAAGCACCATGGCAACAGTGGGCGTAAAGAAGAGAAGGAAACACAGGAGCACCCAGTTTTGATTCAGTGGAGCCTGACAGCCCCCTACACAGGTGAGAGCAGCTACTAGCTCCTCGATGCCTTCTCCATTGGCCCCCGTGTAAAAGACAGAGAAGCTGTATGTGAGCGAACAGAACCAAGAGAGAATAATGCATATTCCCGACACGGAGACAGTAAACCTGGCTGGATAGGTCAGAGGCTCAGTAACAGCAATGTATCTATCGACAGAGATGCAGCATAAGTGAAACAAAGAAGCAAAGCAGAAGGAAGTATCAAAGCACGTGTGAAATGTACAGTAGCTCTCCCCAAAGTACCAGCAGCTCTCCACAGACCTCACGGCGCTGAAGGGCATCACTGTCACCCCCACCAAGAAGTCAGCGCAGGCCAGGGACGCGATCAGGAAGTTGGTAGGTGTGTGCAGCTGTTTGAAGTGGAGGATGGCAATAATGACCAGTAAGTTTCCCAGCACGGCCAGCAGGGCCCCCACACCGAGGACGGCGTACAGAACTGCTCGGGGCCCTGGCGAGTAAGGGGTTTTCACGCAGGATCCATTCACGTTCTCGTAGCAGAGCTCCACAGCTGCAGCTTGGGAGAAAGTGTCCGCCATCGCCTTCTTGATTGATTATTTTAAAATTCTCAAATTCCCTATGGCGGCAATTCAAAACAAGAAAGAGATGGCGATTTCAAAGGTTTCTGGAAGAGAAAAAAATCTCTGGTTAAAATGAAAGTCAGGAAATTTTCTACCTTTTATTTTTTGGCATAAACTTATAACACCTTGGTCTTTCCAAAAAGGATTCCCAAGTTTTTGATATATTTAGAGTGGGAACTTGTGGCAGAAAGCCATTAAAATTATAGTCAAATTTAGTACCAAATAAATGGCTGGCAATACACTTAGTCCAATCATTTATATTATCATTATATATGTTATAGAATGTAATTGGCTAATCGTTAGAAAATTCCTTTTTTGTGTTTCTTTACCTTCTGAAACCTCACCTGTAACCACCCAAGTCGAGAACTAATTAGGCCACCTAAGACTGAGCTTTATGTACCAAGTACTCTCCCTTGAGCAGCTGCTTTGACAGCAGTGACAAACTGTACTTGTTTTTTCAAGAAGGAAGAAATAAATTATATCTCCTTCAAATTATAACCTCAAAAATCCCTATAGTATAGAGTGTGAAGACCGAGGAAACATTTACTTATAATAGCTTGAGAAACTTAATTGGGGAGCATATTTCTTATATTGCGGATCTTTTCGGAGTTTCTGTTTTTTCTTTTTATATTCATTCCAGGTTTGGACAGCTTGGGGTGATTTGAAGAACTATTGTTGTCAAATTGATGCTAATATAATCAGCGTGTACGTATATTCCATGCTAATAGCCAGTTTGAGTTGTCTAAAATCAATAAGATGGATTAGAATAAGCAGCAACTCACCGAGCCCCTTATCTTCCCATCCTTAAAAAATGGTCTAGTTTTAAAACTCCCTCAGAGGAGTAGGCGACACCTGGGATGGTCTGGAGGGGAGTTCCTCAATTAACCACGTTTCTGGAAGGAAATGATTCCTGCCAAGTCATCCAAGGTTCAAACAGGGATCAAATTGGCTTCTGTAGGTGCTTGAGGTTTTTTTTTTATACTGAGGCACACAATCTTAAGATGGTTCACAGAGTTCACCACAGAATAGTGAATAATTAATCTTTACTTCATTTAAGTATGAAAAAGATGCAACCTTGGACCTAAATCTTAATCTTTCAACTACAGACTGGACTACTTTTATTGCCATTTATCGCACACCACACATCTGGCCTCTGTTGAAAGTGCAGGATCCTAGAAAAAGATTGTGGGTGCACGTGGAAATCCTTTATTGATATGTCTGTACTCTCCAGGTAATAGTCTTCCCTAGTCTACAAATTGTAAAGGTTTGTGTATGTGTGGGGTGTGTGTATACACCTGTGGTATTTGCAAGCTTCACTATTCTGCAAGTTTTAAGTCAATTCATTTTTTATTTTGCTTCCCAGTTATACTTCCTTAAGCCCTCCCTGGTTGGATGGCATAAACTTAAGTCTCCTCTTTGTAAATGTCTCCCAGTTACTCCTGGAATGTCCCAGATGGGAGCATCCATGTGCTCACACATCAGTCTCCCCAATAAAATCACTGTTTGATACCTGCTCATATTTTCTTCTTCTGCCCCAGCTCTCCTCATAATTCCACCACATCTTTTGCGTTACTCTCAAGCTGGCTAACGGAATTGCACCATTGCCACCGAAGATGGTGCCCCACCTGAGTCTGAGTGTCTATGTAAAGGATGCTGTCTCCTCAAGCTTTAGAACTCCCCACTCCACTGGTGCCCAAGTAATGCTGCTGTTGTCAAAAGGAGAGTGACCCCTTCCTCGGGTCTTCGTACTCTGGCCCTAAAAGAGCAGCCTTCAGTCTTATGGATGTCTAAAAACGTGCCCTTCCCGAGAAGCAAAGACACTTGTCGGTAATGAGCACCCCTGAGACCCACACCTTGGTGCTTAATGCTCTTCACCAGTAAAGGGTCTAGGGCTTCCCAAAGAAATGGTTCATCCAGGCGATGGGACGGGGAAGGTACAGAAAGAAACTGGAACATATTTTTATATCAGAAATGAAGGAAGAGATTAAAAAAATTTTGGAGCGTTTCATAAGAACATTGTTGCCAACATGAGCGGATTCCCACTGGTCAAATTAGGGGCAATTTGAGTGCCAGAATAATTAGGGAGAGTGAAAAATTATAAGCCATTGAAAGAAAGGGAATTCATGAGGCCATATTAATGATAGATATTGATAGATGGAAGATGATAGCAAGATAGATCAATTGATAGATAGATAGATGATTGATCATAGGTAGGTAGATAAATATGTGATAGATAGACAAACAGACAGATAAAGGAGGGCTCTTCCTTCCAGTAGAATCCCAAGGGCAGACTGATACACATGGACAGAGTGCTAGAGTTGGAACATCATAATTTTGGAAACATCACATTAATATTGATTCAGGCAAGGATCGTCAATTGATGCTAAATCTAGTGGGAAATGAGGGGAATTTTGATGATAACCAGGTATTTATGTGGTTTAAAGCATCATCTCCCAGAGATTGCTTATTAATTGCAGCAGAAAAACTAGCAGCTCTAGAGTGGAGAAATCAAACAAGACCTTACCAGGGGATCACAATTAACATCACCCTCAGCAGCCTCTGGTCAAAGGTGCCTCCAGGTAGGTACCCTGAGAAGCACACAAGATGATGTGGATAGTGGTCCAGTCAGGAAGGCATAAACGGGGTCTCATCATGAAGAAAGGTCGGACAAAGCCAAGTTGAGAAACACTATGTTTTCAAACAGTAGGAGAAGGGAAGACTATATTCTTCAAAAATGTCTGTGTCTTAAAAGACTGACGAAATGAGACTAAAGGGCGAAACAACTAAAAGAACTATGTGATCCTGGAATAGAATATATTCCTGGGTCAATCGACAAAATGGCAGTTGGTCAAAGTGTAGTATGACGTTAAATTAGTGAAATATGTAGGGCTAAATGGCCATGATGTATTCAATGTATTCTCAGACGGTTCGGAAAAAAATTATACTCACACAGAGATGAATATGGAAAGAGAGACCCAATGGTTTACAAGAAGTAATTTAATTTACACAGAATTCGAAATATATTACAATGTACGTCTGAAAGCTATATATTGTTATAATCCAATGTTACTGCAATTAAAAAAATAATAAAACGCAAAAAGAAATATTGGAGCTTTCGTGTGTCCATTTCCGCTCATCATCTGTGCAAGCCCCTCTCAAACCCCACCCCGTCAGCTGAATGAACTGTCTCCACAGCAGCAGGTCAGGTTCCCAGCCCCATCAACCTCTCCCTTCCCCCTCCATCGTGGCTCCCAGTGCAAACGGTCTCCTGATGCAGGCCCATTTAACGTGATGCTACCATTTACACTCCCAAAGCATGACACTTACTGTCTACATTTGTATATCTGGTGACTTCAGGATTTTTCTGGGAATAACAGAGAACATAAGATGACAGTATATCTGAGTGGCTAATTATAGTTGTTGTTCTACTTATTTTCCCTCAAAAATGAAGACCCATTTGCCCCAAAGATTCTCTGGTTCCTGAGACAGGAAACGAATTCTGTATTTTAAGCCAATGTCTGCTTCTGGTCTCCAAATACTTCTAGTCATCAAGATTACAAACACTGGGGCCGGCCCCGTGGCCAAGTGGTTAAGTTCGCACGCTCCACTTTGGCAGCCCAGGGTTTCACTGGTTTGGTTCCTGGGCTTGGACCTAGCACCACTCATCAAGCCTTGCTGAGGTGGCATCATACATAGCAGAGCTAGAATATACAACAATGCACTGGGGGGCTTTGGGGAGAAAAAGAAAGAAAAACATTACAAAAACTGTGGCAGTCCACCTTTAAGCAGGGCTATCCATTGAACATCTGCAAAGATACTTACATCTGCCTATCACATCCCCACCCCAAACCAGCCCACTCTCTGAGACCATTTGACAAGTCAGAATAGTTGCTAAACCTATTTCTGCCCTAATAACATCTCCCCATGAATTATTTAACACAAAGAAAAGCAGGATATGATAGAATCCAAGAACCCTGGTCTAGTGAAATTTAAAAATGGGACTTGGTACTATCCGGTACATTTATGTTTACGAAAAAAATTTTGAATTAGCGTTTAATCAATGCAATACAATTATTTGCTCTAGACGTAAGTGATTAATTGGGAAGAGCATAGATGTAGGAATACCACCAGTCCTCCTTGGCAAGATGTGACGAACAGCTCCTTTAAGCACTCTTTGACTTTCCACGAGGCTGGAAATTCTTAGCCAAAGTTCATCTTTAAGAGCTCTCTGGAAAGTGTCTTTTAACTGTGAGGAGTTGTAGATATTTCTCATATCTCGTATCATATTATACCCGTAGTCAATCCATTCTTGCCTGGCACAGAGCACTGGAATGAGTGAAGGGGGAACTGGCGATGGTCCTGGTACAACGGAAGGTTCCGAAAAGTCAGGAGTGTGTCAGGCAGCCGAGGACACAGAGCAGTGGGAGGCCAGCAGTAGAACACAGTGCGACCCTAAGAGGAGGGTCACCAAGGAAATCATCTGCCGAGTGTTGGGTCTGTGCTATTAAACTTCTTTTTTAACATTTGCTTAAAAATCTTAATGATTCTCTGTAATATGCTTAGACAATTTTTTAAGATTCAGAGCAGAGGAAACAAAATGTGGTGTCCTTGTTGATTCAGGGCTCTGGGAAAAGAAAAAGTTCACTGAATCACAAGTATTCTAGAACAGAGCTATCCAATAAAACTTTCTGTGAGGAAAGAAACATCCTATTATCTGTGCTGTTCAATACGATAGCCACCAGCCACATGTGCTTATTGAACACTTGAAATGTGGTCAGTGGGAGTGGGAAACTGATTTTTAAGTTTACTGTTAACTAATTTAAGTTAAAATGTGGCTAGTTGCTATGTATTGGACAGGTTAGGCCTACTCTAAAGGGATAAAATAAAATAAACCTATCATAGCACTTTGATCTAATTTCAAGAGTTCAATTTCATCACACAAACTTGATTTACGTGATTTTTTGTCTTGTAAAACTTGATTCATTGCACTGAAAATACTTTTGGAGTTTTTGCTTTTTGGAGTTTATTTTATTTGTTTA